CTTCTTGACCGGATTATGACGGATAACCTGGTCCTTCTCGGTATTTCGTACTCTGCACTAACCCATTCCGCGGCACTACACGGCGCAGACTCGATCCGTACCACAGAGGTGGGTACTATACTTAGTAATTAGCAAGAAAATATATGGAACATTAGATAGTAACAGTATTTTGTCAACACCGGCCCGAATTGACTCAGCACATATCTTCCATTGTCGACTCACTTGGCCCAAGTTTCAAACGGGAATTTGCTGACCACTTCTTCCCATCAATCTTTCCTGAACCACTACAGCGACTATGAGAGCCATACCATATGTTTATACATTGTATCATACATACTTGCCATTTTTGAAATAAATAATATTATCCCTATGCTGAGGGATGATGACTATGTTGATATGCTGCTTAAATTAGCAAATGATGTGAGCTCTAAAGATGTAGTGATGGAGGGTTTAAAAGGATTGACTGAGCGGCGTATAAGTTTGTTGAAAGCCTTATTTGCGAGTCGCAAATCGGAGAAGAACTGGTTCTGAAGATATTTGAGGCAGGAGGGTTGGGGCAGGTGCTGGAGCAATTGTCTGAGATTAGAGAAGACGACATAGCGCGTCAAGAAGAGCGGAAACAAGCGGGCCGGAGACATCAGGCGAGGGTAGCCGCGAGAGCAGGACAGTTGCAAGCAGCAGCAGCTAGACAGGAGTCCAGGGTTTCAGGGATGACAGGTCTGAGAGGGGCTTGCTTGTTTTGCAAGCAGGATGGTCACTATGTGAAAGAGTGTCCTGTGTTGAAAGACGTGGTGTGTCATGCGTGTAGCAAGAGAGGTCATACTGCGAGATTCTGTCCTACAACACGATCCGGGGGTAATATAGCGGCAGCAACGTCTGGGGAGGTGCGTATGAGTGCAGATGGGACACCTGAATTGTGACATGCGGCAGCGGCTAGTTATGAAGGACCAGGCCAACCGTTGATCTATAGTCATGTGAAGAGTGAACAGTGTTATGTCGATATGTTTGTTGATCAAGGCACCGATATGTCGATGATTTCTAAGGGTTTGGCAGAGCGTCTGGGGCTGGTTGCGCAGTATAATTTGTGTCTTAATCTCATCCCGATCGTGCTATTGGTTCAAAAGTTACAGAGAATTCGTTTTGTACCAGAGTTGAGTCAAACTAGTAGTCGAAGCAACATACTTTGATTCCAAGAATGTCTGATAGGTGTGAACGGACTTATATAGTACTCATGTTTGACTAGTTTGACTCAACTCTGGTACAAACCGAATTCTCTGTAACTTTTGAACCAATAGCCTGATCGGGATGAGATTAAGTATATGTTTATTACTCGTCAATACGAACAATTTGATCTATTTAATGATCAATGGGATGTTATTTTTTAATATACATCTGGGTCAACCTCCATAGTAAAATCCCCGCCGGTGTTGAGGTTTATATGTGAGCTGATTTTCTCTAATTCAATACTGACAGTTGACACGATTCGCGGAAAGTGTTTTTTTAAAGAGCATGCCTTGTTTTTAAAAAACACAAAAAAACACAAATGCGAAATGTCCAGCAATCCTGCACTCTACAGTCTATTTACACTGTTTACACTCTACAGTCTACAGTCTGAACTCTGCGACTCTGCAGTTCTGCACTGTGCACTGTGCCGTCTGCACTGTCTGCAGTCTGCACTGTCTGCAGTCTGCACCACAGTCTGTCTGCACTGTTTGCAGTCTGCACTGTCTGCACTGTTTGCAGTCTGCACTGTCTGCAGTACCTTAGTATCGTCATATACATATGGCCCCGAACCCCGAGTCCCCGTCCCCGAGCCCCCGAGGCCCAAATCCCTGAGCCACATATTTGGGGTCAAAAGCAGTTGGTAGTAAAGTATTTCAAATAAACATGTTTTATTGACTGTTATATTAATCGACGAATAAATAAACACTAGAGTTTAGGATTTTAGGGTTTAGGATTTGAAGATATTGGATAATGGATATGTAGCCCATTATGCCCATAGCCTCCTAAAAAAGAAACATAGGAGGCTATGGCGCTATGGCCCGCTACGGTCATGGATAGCCAGTCGATTATTTAAAAAAATTAAGAATATCGATGTTTGTGTAAATATATTTGAAATCGAGGAATTTATAGGTATTTACTCGATTTACTCGAACGAGCTTTTCGCCTTTTTAAACTAAAAAAGGCTGCAAGCCCGAGTGCAAGCCACAGGCCACTGCAAGGCTGCTGAGAACCTTTTATTTTTTGAAAATCATAATCGGCTCATGACATAGGCAGTTTTATTTAGGCACAAACTGTCATAGCCTCCTAAATTCATTTTAAACTCGACACGCGTGACTCGAGGTGTGAGGCTTTCTAAAATATTCTAAGTATACTGAGTAAATATGAGGTAAATACTGTAGCATATTTGTAGAAAAAAAAACGGAGAGGCCGGAGGGCTGGAGGGCCGGAGACCTTTTGAAAATAGTTTATAATTTTTATGACATTTAAAAAACCTGTACTAAATACTTAAATTGATCCAATAAATAACTGCGAAAAGTTGAGGAAATAGAGTTTGGCTAAACTTCATCAACACTCTGAGTCTCTGTGACTTAAAAGTCAAAGTGACTGAGTCTCAGCAACTGATAATTTTTTTTAAAAGTTACAAATATCCCACGTTGGTCTCCATTCGTGCAATAATAACATATGAACTCAAAAGCGTGATTTGTGTTTTTTTACCGTCTATTGATTTTTCAAGATGCAGCTCTTTATTGCATGCTGTGCTCTTTGTTTAGCATTCACAAATGGGCTCACATTAAATCCAGGCGATAACTTGGCCACAGAAATAGCAGGTGCCTTTGCAGGGGATTCGATATATCTGACCCCAGGGGAGTATTTTTTAGACGAGCCGATAGTTGTCGATAGAGCCATACGGTTAGAAGGAGATGATGCTGTTTTAATTGTGCCCGATGGCAAGTCGACCGTTTTGGCATTTGGGGATATTGATGGGTTCGACTCGTGGCTAGAAGGTATTACGATCAAGACGGTTACGGGGAATGAGTGTGAATTGGCAGATCCTTATCTGGAAGACCTGCGATACAACATGTCTGTGATCTCGTCAACGATCACAAATGATCATCTAGACGTACTCGCATCCGGCGGTAAGTGGCACAAACAAAGGCAACTGACAGATGTGACTTTTAACAATTGCAAATACAGTGAAAACCATCCTGATAAAATGATTGGCGGTGTACACAAGCTGATGGGCGATTGTAGGTCAGTGGTGGGCTATAGTGTGCCGGTAAAGAGCCTATCTGAATGTGGGACAACATCGAGGAAGGTCGGTGCATTCACCCAGTATGCGGCACGAATCGGGGCTACTTATAACGATCACATCAATATGAAAAATCCAGATCAGGAATTGCGTGCGACCGTGAATCGTATGGGTAGAGCTAATCAAGCTACACTGATCATTCATGACAAAGCTCGTAATATAATGGCCTCGGGTGGTGGTGCCTATTCTGAAGCGCAATTAACAGTCTCGGTGAGTAGCATGGATAGCGGATACTTCGACGGTTGGAACCGTTCTCTGGTCACTGCAGAAACTCGTGTGAAGTCTCCATACACGATATTGGATGGTGCAACAGGACCGGTTATAGTTTTGAGTACAAAGCAGGACAATGTTATCGTAGGACAATACACCGTCGATCAGCAATGCAATAGATTGAGGGGCACAGAGTGCAAGCAAACACTGCAAATTGAGATAACTGCATGTGATATGTCTGGCGCGTATTCTATCTCAAATATCCCAATGACGTGTCAAGACGAGAAAGAAGAAGGTGAGGTGATCGAATGCCCAATTTTGAAACAAACAGGATGGTCGTCCGATATACAGTTCTCGCTAAATACTCACGACAGCTGTACAGAGAGTGCAGTGATTACAGGCCCGCCCTTTGAAGTTGCCTACAAGTTTAGATCAGATTTCTTGTTCAGAAGTACTAGACCGTCCAGTGTTTATGCATTGGGTGAGAAGGCGTATTGGTCCTTAATGACTAGCGCCTCCGCACGCCCCGTTGATTTATTCAATGCCGAAATTATAAAGGCATCTCGTGCGTCTGAAGGAAATTGCGCGGATCAATTCTATGTCATACCTCTTGAGCATCTGAACCAGCGTTTTAGTCCGGAAGCGAGCGAAGTTCAGGTATCGACCATCATCACGCCCCAATTGGCCTGTGCATCAAAGGGAGGAGCAAAAACCTCGTTCGTCGTGTCGCTGACTATCCTGTTCGACTATGACATTGCTCTGCGAAGGCGTCGCAATGTCAACGCGGATATCCGTCCACGAGGCCTATTGGGCAAACGGGAAGTGGACGAACAAACGGTTGAGATTGAATTGATCACCCAGTACACAGACGAAGAACTTGAGGCTGCCGCAAATACTGCCGAGGGCGATGGGAACAACACCATGATTGTCATGGGTGCTGTAGCGGGGGGTGCGATACTTGTACTATGCTGTTGCTCCTGCTGCATCGCTGCAGTGGCAGTGGTTGTCATCCGCAGGAAGAAGCTGCAGGCAGCCGAAGAGAAGTCCAAGATGGACAAAGAACTGACCAACTCGGGCGACCTATCTACCATGAGTTTTGCCACCACAGTGGGCACTTCGACGGCCAGTGTACGACCTAACGGTGGCTCGTTCCGCAGTCAAGGCTCGATGACAGGCATGAACATGTCACGTGGCAACAGCGTTTTGGGCGGTGTGGGCGGCGGATCTAGTATGGTGGCGTCCAATTTTAGTGTCAATAGTTTTGGCCCTTCAGATCCTGGCAGCGTCAGTATACTCAGGGGAGCTGCCAGTATGACTGGCTCGCCGAGACAGCCCCGTGCTATACCCGGGTCACCCCGGATATCCGATTCGCCGCAAGCTAAGCGGAAGACACCTATGGTACAGTCACAAACCCCAACTATGCAACGCAAACAAGGGTCTATTCAGGGCATGGATAGCTTTAGATCTAGCTCGATGAATGCCGGTAGAGCCTCTAGGCAAAATTCGGTGAAGTAAATAATGCAATTTAAATTAGACTTTAACCATTAAAATACAATAAAAAAATATGTTCTGTACGAAAACAATACGAGAGCCGAATATGGCAAGCCTATCCAAAACACGGATAGTCTGAAAGTGCCTCATTAGACACCGAGCACTAACCCCCAAGCAAGCCTTTAGTCATAATTTCGTGATACAAATTGTGCACTTCGAAATCAAACAGAACTTCAAACAATGCCATAAAAAGACGAATGTGCCGCAACGAGAAAACTCAAAGAGACGCAAAACACGAGGTTGACTATTTCATCCTATTGACTAACCTGCACAATTGTTTCAGCGAGCATATCAGCTCGAATTGGAATTTTCCATCCCGTGGAAATAACATTTCACCCACCGGCACGACTCTCAACACAAAAACT